GGGGGGGGGGGGGGGGGCAGAAGAACCCAGCAAGTTTCCATCAATAGGCAGTGACAGACCTGACACATTAACACTACTGTAAGACCTGTCTAACCAATTGTCTCCTATTTTACTACACTACAGTACAATACATTTCTGTGGCATTCCTATTAGGCTCATCTTGGCACCAATCATAAATACAGGGGTGAGGTACACAATCCCATTGCGATTTTCGCAATTTTTTTTAGAACTCCCCTAGAAAAACATGGGACACCATCCCAAGAAAAGATGCAAAAATGCTACAGGTAATTTCAGGTTTCTTTAGTAGCATACAGATGCCTACAACCTCAGTGCATGCTTGATTTCTCTGTGTTTAGTCATCTGCAAGAGAGGTCATGGTCTATCATGGCTAGCCTCTTCTTAAATGTCAGACAACTGTACTTTAGTGGAACAGAAGCGGAAGCTGAATGAAAATGAATAGCAGAGAGAAGATGAGAGAACTAAGCAGATGATTTTTCTTGCCATCCAACTGCTTCTACTACCTGACATAACACCACACACATGGGGATGGCAAAAAGAGAAGACTGGTGAACGGTTGGCAGGAAAGAGGAGGTCTGAGAAGAGCTGGACAGGGCGAGACTATTTGAAAGCAGTCACTCATTGTGCATGAGAGAGCTCACACCCTATGTCACATGCAATAGCATTTGAAATACCCATCAACTTTGCAGATTCCCAAATTATTGAACCAATCCCTGGAGTTACCACGACCATTGCTCAGAACCAGCTCTATATTCTGTGTGCAGTCACAGTATTTTAGCCACCAAGAAGTCAGTAATGGTTCGTGGAACTGGCAAAAAGCCACACAAAACCGTGTGCTTACAAAGGTGTTCTACCACTAATGTAGCAGTTTGTATTATACAGCAATCTAGGAGAGTGTCCTCAGAGGTACTGAGTGTATGTGATTAGACCCATCAGTCTTACCTGGTCTGGTAGATTCTCATGTACGGGAAAGTCAGAATGAGATATCCTCCAGTAATTTCAGGTTAACCATAGAATAAATTCAGTGTTGCATGCAGAGGACATTACCACTTTCTGGTTTTTTTTGTTTGTTTGTTTTTTGGAAGCATGCAACAGTAGTCTGATCACTGAGACATTTTCTAGTCTTTTGCTCTTGGGAACAATAGAAGAGCTTTAGAGTTGGCCAGCCATTATTAGCTTCCTCTCTAAATGGTGTATGCATGAGATGTTCCTATTCTATTCCATCCTATCATGTTATATAGTTTTGATGGTCTCACCGCTTACCTCCAGGTTTCCTCGGTTTCCAACAGTTGTTGAAACATGGCTTCTGCCATCTCTTTACGTATCTGCACCTCAAGAAGAAGTTTACTCTGACTTTCTGCAACTAGCATCTTCTTCAGGTTCTCAGTAGTTTTCAAGAGCTCCTGCATTTAAAATACTTCACTTCAGAAACCAAGCTAAAAGCAGTAATAACATGCAATTAAAATAATAAAAAAAAAATGTTATTTACCAGACAATGGTGTTCATAAAAGCTCTCTCTACCTGGGGGGAACATGAAACCCCATCTCATTGGCCTTTCTATGTTGGTTTTCCTATTGAAATACTGAGGTTTCATCAGAACTGAGGTATGTGCCCAAGAAAATTATTTTGAGCCCACTCCCACTGAAGTCAATGGGAAAAACTGATATTTACTTCAATAGTTGTATCTTGCTCCTACAGAGAGAGAGAGAAAGAAAGAGAGAGCGAGTGCGAGAGTGTGTGTGTGTGTGTGTGTGTGTGTGTGTAAGTTTTAAACAAAAAATTTAATACGGTACACAGCAATGATGATTGTGAAGCTTGGTTGAGGTGGTGAAGTCAGAGGGTGGGATATTTCCCAGGGAATGCCTTACTGCTAAAACGATGAACTATAACAGCTGAGCCCTCAACGGTTAACACATTGTTGTTAATGTAGCCTCACAGTCTACAAGGCAGCACAAATGGAGGAGGGGAGACAGCATGGCAGACAGAGAGACACACCCTGTGCATGAGAGAGACAGACACGCATTGCCCCTTTAAGTATGCTGACTGCACTCTAAGTACATTGCCTTTTTAAGTAGATCAGCACGTTGAGACAGCAGCTGCTGCCAGCAAGCTCCCGCAGTCCTGTCGAGTTCCCCCCTGCTCTATGGAGATGGGGCAAGCGGGGGGGCGAGGGGGACACCCTGACATTAACCCCCCTCTTCCGCCCCTCCCCCCCGCACAGCAAGCAGGAGGCTCCCGGGAGCAGCTCTAAGGCAGATGGCAGGAGCAGCACATGGCAGTGGGGGGAGGGACAGCTGAACTGCCAGCAATTGATAGCCTGCTGGACGGCTGCCGCACAGGGGAGCGGGGAGCTGATAGGGGGATGCCGGTCCACCCTGGTTCCAAGCCCCCCACCAGCTCGCTCCAACGGGCTCCTCTTTCCGCAAGCAGTGGACAAAGCAGGCGACTGCCAAACAACATTATAAGGGAGCATTGCATAATTTTAAACGAGCATGTTCTCTAATTGATCAGCAATGAAACAACGTTAACTGGGACGACTTTAAGTGAGGAGTTACTGTACCTCATGGGTCATGATGGTGATGTCCACTTCCTCTTCAGAGGAGGTATCTATATCTTCATCAGGAACCTCTTCAGCAGATATGTTGGCATCAAAATGTACTATAGGCTTGCCATTCTTCCCAACCAGTTTTGGAGCAAAATATCCAAAGGTTTGGGGGTGGATTGTCTGAATAACCTGAAAAATTGTCAAAATTATATGTACTGTGGGGGAAAATAGCATTTCTTTCTGGTATAAATATAAAAGAGTTATGTTAAACCTTCCATCTAGCAAAGAATCTGTTAAAATACATATACTTTTAAGGCAGAAACAATGATGTTGTCCCTCAGTTTTTATTTAATAAAACAAGATAGTTTTCCTTATTTTCAGAGTTGCTATGGTTAGTTATCTAAGCAGAGATTTGGAAAAAATGTCCAAGAATTTTAACTTTTGGCACATTTGCCCTGAATGACCAAGAGCAATTACCTAAGGTGGCTATTGCCTCATGTGGGATGTAACTGAGAGGTTCAGGTGTCCACCCTGATGGGCAAGATTAAGATTGAGTCATGGGACTTTGATCAGAGAAGCTCAGGGATTATGACAGACAAGCTCTATCCATCCAGAGATGGAAGAAGCATGTACTACGAGAGAACTCAAACAGGGAAAGCTCTACATTGAGAGCACTGTCAGAAGCCCTGACTTAGGAGCTCTAACAGTTTAAGAGTGTAATAGAGTTTTACATTTAAAAGTGGGTTTACAGCCTCAAACTAGAAATAAGATTCTCCTTCCATGAAGTAAAGGCTCCCTCACGAGAGCAGCAGGAGGTGGACAGCAAGAGGCAGCCCAGCAACTGATTCTGTGGGGCAGCTGTCAGGAAGAAATAGGAAAGGGAGTAGAGCAGGGTAAGATAAAATACCACCCAAAATCCTGCATTAAGTGATGAGGCAGGGAGGGTAGGAACTAGCAACCACCTAGGAGGGGAGGAGAGGGGGCGCAGAGAAGAGAGAGCATGCACGCCAGCCACTCCCAAAGAAAGTAAAGATTGTTTGAACAGGATTCTGCTCAGGGGTTGAGCACACTGCCTCCAAACCACTCCATGCCCCTACTGACCAGAAGGCAAGACCAGTAAGAAAAAAATTAAACCCAGGTCATGAACATTAAACAAGAGGAATTTGAGCACTAGAGATCTTGTTTAGGATATTGGTTGTAAGATACTAGAGATTGCCTCTTCTTCCTGAATCTCTTGAATCTGCTGTTAAAAAGCTTTGGGACAAATGGTCAGCTTGTGCAACTCATATTTATACATTCATAACTTGTGCATGCAAATAATTAAATTGTAATCACACATCGTGTGCATGTGTGCAGCGGGCATAACATGGCCAACACTGTCTGGTCACACTAAGTAACTGTACTTAGTTTAGTGCATACTAATATAGGAATGCAATTCTGCATACCTGATTGAAAAATGACAATTTCAAGAAAGTTAAGACTATTAAAAACTTTTTGCAAACAAGCAACAGCATTTTATATATAGGAAGTAGTATGGTATATTATAAGCCCATAAGAGACAAGCCAGTTGCACTTCAAATCAAGAAGTCCTAAGTACATTGAGACCATATGATCAGGAGTTTCAATATATAGTCAATCTAGGCAATTCGTAAGTTAAGTGTAAGAATGCTTCAAGGAGAAGTAGACTTCTACTTACCTGTTTGGCTGTAGCAGAAAATTTCATTACATGTAATGTCTCACTGTGAGTGGAGGCACACTGATTAACGTTGACAATCATACAAGCTTTGCCTTTACCACAGAAGAACGGTTGAAACAGGCGGGTGAGTTTACTCTCTCTGAATGGAATATAGCTGTGTTTCACACTTAAAGAGAAAATTGTACAATTTCCATTAAGGAAACTGAGTGAGTTGTAATATCATACGCATAGCTTTTCTAGATCCAATCTTTGAGGAAACATATGCGCTTTTCCATAAGAACACTCAACTTTGAATGTAACGTCCCTATCCAACAAAGCTGAACATATTCCCAAATACTGTCCAAGAAATGATCTATAGAAGGTATTTTAAAAAGTCAAGAAAAAAAAATATGGACAACAAATCTGTATTTTTGGACAAGTTCCTATCACTCACAAAAAGGAGATACTTGAATAATCTCATGCTGAGTACCGTCTATTTCTGAACTCTCAAGTGAGTCTACTTGCACAGATTGAGAAAAATCTGCATTTATGAGAGATACTGGTTGCTCGCAGTATAAAAGTCACTGGTTTTGCAGTTTCATGTCTCTTCTACCATACTCGCACATACAAATTTAATTCTTCTACTTTTCCTGTGGAAAAATTATTGTATTATTATAGTGATGTTTGTAATAAACATATTGCTAAATGTACATGTTAAGTGAACCACTGTGCAAGTTTGCAGAACCACTACTCAAAGCTGTGCACTGCATGATTAGTCTTTTAGCTGAACTAAAACTCAAGTTGTTTTAAGTCTTCTCACTTACTTAGGATTCTGCTTCTGCTTCAGTGCTGCAATGCATTTCCCAAGAATAAAAAGAGAATTATTAATATTCCCTGCTTCTTTTAGTCTGTCTCCAAAAGTTTGTGTCTTATTGCACCGTTCAGACCCAGCCAAGTCACAGAGAGACATTCTAAATGAAAGAATTAATCAATAATAAAAATATTGTACAAGTTAAACACAATTTTTAATATTGTTTACTTTCAGATATGTTGGTGCGATAAAAATCACTAACTCTTAACATTTCTGGACACACATCTAAGATGTAGACTACTACAGAGTACCTTCTTTCTAACGTTTGATTCTTCAGTGGCTTTTGCAAACAGAAGGTAAGAAACATGGTTTTGTACAAAGCCTTTCCTTCAATACAAAGTCCAGAGTAGGGCATCAGATACTCATAATTAAGGCTGTGAGTTTGTCATGGAAGTCACGGATTCCGTGACTTTCCGGGATCTCTGACACTTCTGCAGCAGCCAGTGCAGCTCACCTGGGAGCCGCCTGAGGAGCTTGGGCAACCCCTGGGCCAGCCGCACCAGCCATTGCTGGGGCAGTCTCGGGCCACTGCCCCCCTCCCCAGCAGCAGCAGCAGGAGTTTGGGTGCGTGTGGGAGGGAGCTCAGGGCTGGGGGTTAGGGCGTGGGAGGGGGTGAGGACTCTGGGAAACGCTTACCTTGGGAGGCTCCCTGGAAGTGGCGACATGTCCTTACCTCAGCTCCTAGCTCTGCACGCTGCCCCCGCGTGCAGGCACCATCCCTGCAGCTCCCATTGGCCACAGTTGGGGCGGGGAGCTAGGAGCTGAGGGAGCCTGGGGAGGGATGTCACCGCTTCCAGAGAGCCACATAGGGAGTCTGCCAGTCCCACCAACCCCCACCCTCCACCAGCAGGGGTCCCAGACCACACCCCACCCAGGGCATGCTGCAGCTCCCCCAGGCTGCCCTTGCACCCAAGATTTAGTCAGGGGTATATAGTGCAACTCATGGACAGGTCACAGGCCGTGAATTTTTGTTTATTGCCCATGACTTTTACTAAAAATACCAATGATTAAAACACAGCCTTACTCATAATACAGTTATAGTTAAACACACTGCGATAGCTTAAATACTGCCATTCTTATTTCCATATTCCATGGAGAGTTAGTTAAGCCAACATCATAGCCCTTATTTAAACAAAACAACAACAACAAAAAACCACTAATGGGAACTAGTGCATTCAGAGAATACAACACAACACTCCTCTAATTCTTTAGAACCAGCATTCATAGGAACCCAAATCTTGGTGTGGGACTATTCCACATCCACCTGAACTCAAATGAATGATACCAATTGAATTGCTGAAGCACTTTCCCCTAGAGGAGAAATACACTATGGAAAGTACTTTGATCCTAGTCAACTTCAGTGCTGTGAGAACTGCAAGGAAATACTAATGCAGAGCATTAGTAATACAATACAGATTGATACTTTTGGATGCAGAGTACTTTGTTTCTTTCTGCAGCTTCCAACATCTGTGCAGAGGACAGGAGTTCCCCACAGGTTGACTCATACAGCCAAGTGTCAACACTTAACACATAATGCAACTTTTGTCATCAAAGTTTGAATTAGGCCACTGGATTGCCCCCACATGGCCCACCAGAATACTTAGAGAAATATTTGTGCCAGGATAAATAACTACATTAAAAAAAAAAAAAAAGCCTTGAGGACATTTAGGTTGCAAAGTCAAGTACTCAAAAGTTGTGATGTGCTTAAATGTAGATTGCCCATGCAACCTAAGCCTATGCAGATTTTAGCCCTTTGCATGTATATGTTTAATTACATGATCACATACCATTTCCACAAGATCCTACATCATTCAATACACAAGATTGGTGCTGCTCAGGGAATGAGGCAGTTGTTCAATATCATTCAGTTGATGATCTTACCTTATTTACTGTAGACTAACCAAAGTGTGCAGGCAAATACAGAACACCTCATAGGGCAGGCATAATATCAGAGTGCCTCACAAATGTTAGTGCTCTTATCTCAGTGGAGATGAATTTATCTTCCCCACTTAGGAAAATAAAAAACTGACTCACTGGCAGAGCCATGATTTGAAATCATAACATCGTGATTCAACTCTATATTCATGCCTCCAGATCACGCTGCCTTACTGCCTAGGCACCCACAGCTCCTGTTAGACCTTCAGCTGAAGGTCTGAGTGCTCAGCACTTCTGCCTATTCAGGCCCCAGGTGGCTCAAAAGAGGCGCCCAGAAAAAAAGGAACATGATTAGTGGCACTTGCCCAAAATTTTGTCTTAAAAGACTTCCTCAATAACACACGTGAGCTATGGCAGAAGCAGGGATAACAGGGCTCTCCTGTTTGGCATTCACCTGCTTTAAATCACCATCCTTTCATCTTCCTGAAGTCCTCTATTTTGTTCTTTTCACTCCTACCAACGTCTAGAGGAAGGGGGAAAAGGATCCTATAGACATCTTCTTTCACTACACAACCCTGATTCAGTCCCTGAGCACTGTCCATTCTGTGCACTGCAGGAAGGAGGAGTCCTGTGGGGGGGAAGTTAGTACGTGTATAATACATAATGATCACAAGCAGGCTAAATTAAGGTTGCACAGGCAACCTGACATTCCCCAACTTCCAAGAGCTTGACTCTGCCACCTAAGCATTCTTTTAACAATGTAGTTTCCTAGGCTGTTTAAAAGGAAATACATAAAGCAGTAAAAACAAAAATAACACCCATCTGCCCGAGATCATGCATCATTGGTAGAGTCTGGACTCTAAACCTTCTGCAGTGTAGTACACTTGAGGTGTGAGACTCACTATATTATGACAGCAGCAAAAGGCAGTTACCATTAGGGGAGGCTTGATGGGGTCATGTACTGAGTTGGGGGGAAAATAGAGCCAAGCCTAGCTCCCCCCACAGAAGATAGGGGGCGCCTTCCCCACATGGTGCCCCCAAGGAAGGGGTTGTCAGGGGAAGACTGTCTTGCTCTCCCCACCCCCAGAGAGGCTATTGCTACCTGGGGTTCCCTGAGCAGTACATTCTATTGTTGCATTGGGGATGGCTTGGGCACACTCTTAGATTAGAATATTCATGTTCAGTTATTTCAATAGACTACCAAAAGTTTCCTTGAGGAACGCAAGCTACAGATGGAAAGTGGCAATTTTCATACGTTTCTCTCAATCATATCTTAATGGAATTCAATGAGACCAATAAAGGCAGATTTCTGGCCTCAAGACTTTCTCCCCTTACCAAGTTTTAAAGGTCTGCTGCAAACATGGTTCTGAAATACTCAAAGGTCAGAGAACAACTTATAATTCAGAGTGTTAGGCAACTTAGACATAGGTTTCACTACTAGCTCACCCATAATAATTAATTTTATTGTAGAACTGAGAAGACAGACACTTACTCTGAAACTCCAAGAATACAAGGCTCAGCCTCATCACTTAGTCTTAGTAGTCTGATAGAAAATATGCTGTGACTAGAAGGGAAACAAGTTTTCATTATCAACAATCTGACTTCCAACTAGAATTATGTTCAACTTTACCTAGTATTTTTTTTTTAAAACACAAGTTGAGTGCGATTAATATGTACAAGAGAAAATTAATTTTTATTTTGTCTGACACTTAAGGAGAATATTTGTAATGCATTAATTTGAACAGCCAATAAAAGTTGATACTGTATCTGATAATACCATTAAAAAACTAAAAGGTAAAGAGATAAACAAATAGAGGTTACTTGAAGTGTGGGAGTTAAGGGTGGAATTTTAATTAGCTGCTTCAGATGGGAAAAAATGGTTTTCATGATTCACACAGGCTCTTTGGCTTAAGCGGCATAAAGAAATCTACTGATCCATGATTCATTTTTGGATCCCTGAACGCAAGAACTTCAGACAAGAACTAGACCTTCCCCTGTGTTTGGAATACCAACTCCCTGAAAATAGAGGGAGTAGATTTGGAAGGGAGTAGGAGGAGAGGAGGAATCTGTCAGTCTGATCATTCACCCTGGTTTCTAGCATATGCATCATTTAATTATTGTTCAGTTTACCCAATATTCTGTAAGGTTTTCCTGGTGCATTAACAACATTTTAATATCACAAGAAAATCCTAAATCAACTAAATCCCTCTGAAAGAACCAGCCATTAGTGCTCTGACAGTTATACTCTGGCTGTCAGACCAAAGAGGGAAGCAAAATTTCAGAGTTAAGAATCTTCTACTCCCAATTTCTCCTGCACAGTCTGAGCATCACAGTTAATCTCTACTAAGTAGTTTGGCAGAAAGGCACTCCAACAGTCAAATCACAATTCCTGAAGGAATTCATTTTGGTGTGTACAGGTCATGAATTACACTCAGAAATTAATTGAAGTCAGTGTATTCTCTGGAACACCAGTGTAACTGTTCCATGCATGAAGTTCTGCTAAGAAAGCCGATACAGTAACTCCTCACTTAACGTTGTAGTTATGTTCCTGAAAAATGCAACTTTAAGTGAAACGATGTTAAATGAATCCAATTTCCCCATAAGATTTAATGTAAATGTGGGGGGTTAGGTTCCAAGGAAATTTTTTGGGAGCAGACAAAAGGCATTATATACTGTACAGTACTGTACTGTGGTGGGGAGGTGCCCCTGGCTTACCCCTGGGGCTCAGGGCTGAGGGTGCAGGGTCTGGGAGGGCACTCAGGGTGGGGGTGTGTGAAGAGGCTCAGGGCTGGGGCCAGGGCCGGCTCTGGCTTTTTCGCCGCCCCAGGCGAAAAAACCCTCCGGCCGCCGCCCCCCCCCCCGGGGGGGGGGGGGGGGGGCGGCCGGAGCCCTGGGGGGAGGGCGGCGAGCCCCGGCTGGGGCTCGGCTCTCCCCCTCTGGCGGCCAGAGCGCCGGGGGCAGGGCAGCGAGCCCCGGCTGGGGCTCGGCTCTCCCCCCCGGTGGCCAGAGCACAGGGCGGCGAGCCCTGCTGTGGCCCCGCTCTCCCCGGCGGCCGGAGCGCCGCGCCGCCCCCCTCCAGGTGCCGCCCCAAGCACCAGCTTGGGTGCCTGGTGCCGGCCCTGGCTGGGGCAGGCAGGTGCAGAGCACTTACCTGGGGCAGCTCCTGTTTGGTGCAAGGGGTGTGCAGGTGGCTCAGTGCAGCATGGCACCACCCCCATGGCTGCGATTCTGGGAGGGGGAGGGGAGGCAGCTTCCCCTCTCGCTCGCTCCCTCCCAGAAAGTCCTAAGCTGTTTGGCGGTGCTGTTTGGCGGCGGGGGAAGCGCTGGGAGGGAGGAAGGGAGGGGGAGGGGGAGGAGGTGGAGAAGAGGAACTTGTGCAATGCTCCCTTGTAAAGTCAGCCAAATGACGTTCTAAGGGAGCATTGCACAACTTTAAACGAGTATGTTCCCTAATGGAGCAGCGACGTAACTTCGAAGCAATGTTAAGTGGGAGGACGTTAAGTGAGGAGTTACTGTAGCTTTGTTCTGCATTAGTTTAAGGGGTGTCAAGTGTAGCCTTCCTCTGTAGGTGGATACAGACTGCCACTGTTCAACAGAAAAGGTCACAATCTCCTGTTGAAGACACACTGAAAAAGCATCCTTGGCCAACAGACAAATGGACATAACGCAGCGGAGGGTAAAAAGAACCCTCCTAAGTTATAAAACTGAGTAACAAGTGGGCATACCTTTTCAATACAAGATCCTCTGCCTTTTTCCCCCCTTAACCCAATATTATCTCAGTCTTTTCTGGACTGAATTATAACCAACTAGCTGTTATCCATACAGACTAAATGGAAAGCTGAATTGCAATATATTAGTCTGGCAAAATGTAGACAGCTGAGTATCAGCATAAAGGTTGTACTGCAGGTTAAAAAAAAATATTGTTTCTGGCCCTGCACACATATTGAACAAGTGGAATGACAAGGAAATCCTGAGAAACCCCAGCTGGAGACAAGCAGTTGCCAAGTACTATCTTTGAAACCCAAGAGAAAACATCCATTCCAATCATCCTTTACCAAGATCTGCTGATTTATCTCAATCAACTGTATTGATCTAATTAAATTAACATGGATGCATGATTTGATCTATTTTGCAGTAAACTAGTGAAACCAGTGCAATTTCTGCACCATAACCAGGCTTAAGAGACTGAAGAGGTAATTAAACAAGGACTCCAATTATTGGTAGATCTTTTTTGCCATAACCGTCTCAGTTTTCCCTCCCAAAAAGGGATATTAGTGACAGGTTGATACACTGGCAAGAATACAATCAAGCAGAGTCTTCAGCAATCAACTAATAATTGCTCTTTTCAGAAGTGCTTTTGAAGTGGTATAATTTAATTTTTTCAAAAAATCTGTAAAGTACAAGGACATATCTATAGTTACAGGCAGCAAACCTTCTACTTGAGTGCTGGTTCATTCTAGTGCAAGCCAAGCTTCGGTTCTTGTTTCCTATTTTTAGTATTTTGCAAGCCTCTTCAGTGCTCTGAACGTTGATCCACTTTAAGTCTGCAGAAAGAGACTTGTTTACAAATACATCGTCATTAATATTTGTACAGGACAACCAACGTCACAAAAGTAATGTTGTTACCTTTTATATAAGAGTTTCCTCCTTGATCCTCACAGATTTTTAGAACTTTGCGTTTTTGATTTTTTGATATAGCCAATACATCCATAAGGTCATACACATACTCATTATAAATTTCACAGAAGGAAACCCACACTGAAGACTGCGTTCTCTGATGCTTACTCCCATCGGCGTGAAGTAAAACAGAGTCCTCCACTGTTAACCATAAAAAAAAAAATTGATTACTCAAGCACCTTATCAGCAAGTCTGAAATTGTTCAGTAGCCTCTGAAATTCAAAGGGCAGAAAGTCCCTATTATACATAATTTTGTACACAAATTTTAGCTTTGTTCCTTCTCCCAATTTTTTTGCATATATCTAATTAACACAGATGCACGAGCACACACGTCAGATTAGTCCCAAATATTTAACATTGCCCATCAAATCATCTGCAACTCAAAAACAGACTCACAAATACTTCCTGGTTTTCCTATTTTCTCCTCTTACGCCAACCATCAATTTGATGTTTCTAGCCACAAGTTCTGACCAAACCTTTCTTTTTGCCTAATAAACTAAGCCACTACTTAAATGTGGCAAAGATATCAAAGAGGATTTTAAATTTCTTGTATCTCTTCTACATTTCACACTTTGAAAGTGAGTTAAATCTCCAAAGCTTAGACTTTTCGAAGAAAATTTTCTACTGGCTGCCAATTACAAGATTCTCTGCTTCCACTCCCCTCCATTCTTAAAACGATTCCAGCAGACACCTTCATTTTCACCACATGAATTCAAGTGTATTTTACCTAGCGGGTCAGAAGGCAGACTTGGTGAAGTACAGCTGCTAGAAGACACAGATTCCAAGATACATAATGAATCACTCTGAATTGTAGATTTCGAAGTATCTTCCATGTCCTTGAGAAAATAAGAAGTTGTTATAGCCAACTAACAACATATTATAGTTGAAGAAATAGTGCAACAGTGACGATGTTACTCTGGGCTTGTCTTCACCTCCAATACTAGTTTTTGAACAAGGTTATTTAATTACAAGCTACAAAAACAATTCAGAAAGATCATAATTGTAGTTTTTGCAACTAAGAAGAAAACTGTAGCCATGAAGCAAAATCAGAGTAGAACTCTTGAGTTAAGCTAAAATTTATATTCAAAGTAATCATTTCTTGGCCCCCTGCTGGCAGCCACTATTTTTACTAGAAGTTTTACATTTGCAACAGCAGCAATCAGCATCAGATTGCCACAGCCTCTTTTCTTAAATATTGTCCCCACCTGCTCCCCCATGCCAATAACTTGATCTTCAGCATCCTGAATGGAGCTCCAGGCATCTCCTTCTCCTCCCACAATTAGATTTCATCCTCCCCCTATTTTGACCCTGCTTCAGTCATCATTCTTCAGTTAATATTTCACATAGATGGGAGTAGACAGGTAAGTATATTTAGACTAATTGCTGTTAAAATATGAAAGCTTCCTCTACATGTTCAAGAGTAAGTAACAGAACAGAACTTCAGATTCTGATTTCTCACATGAAGAGTATAATTTGTCACTATTGGGAAGTCAGAGGTGTTTCATCTAACAAAATGTAAACAGTGAACTCTTTCAATAGTAAACCAGTAAGCAAAGTGAAAATTTACTTGAGCCCCTCCATACTTGGATCCTGCCTTGCTGAGCCTGCCTGCCCATACCTGATGCACCTGGCATGGATGGGGAGGGCCCTGGGGTGTTTCTAAGGCAGGCCCAATCCTTGCACTGTGACAGAACTGGGTGCAGCCTCACCGCTGAGTCCGTGTCCCAGGGGAAAGGGAGAAAAGCTGCACAGTGATCTCCCACCTCTGTTCAGCCAGTGGCATGTGCTCCCCAGTGCCATACTGGAGCCTCCACATTTATTTGACAAATAAAATTTGCAGAATTTTAAAATGTGTGCAGAATTTTATTTTATTTTTGACACAGAATGCCCTCAGGAATAAAAATTTGTCTACTAATCCTACCTGGAAAAAGTTCTGATTACCTCAATTTTCAGTAGTACAAAATTCCCTCTAATTATTTAGTACTCCTTTGACACCAGTCTGTCACTGACCTTTTCTCCTCTGTCTTTCACATTTTTTCATTTGAGGTTCTCTGATCCATATCTAACATTTTATTAAACAAGATTCTGATCCATCAAGCTTAGATTTGCAGGGTTTGAATGAGCTGCTAGAATAATTTCTGTTCTCATTTGTTGAGGAATAGGTCTCTGATAGTTAACTGGACTGCTTCAAAAGCGGTCATGGCTATTGGAGACAATGGAAAGGACAGTTGGGAGGGAAGATAACCCACTAAACCACCTCACTAATCTCACAGCCATCCAGGTATATTTTGGCACAAGACACATTGGGCTGAACATAATAGATTTTTAAAATGGAAGAGTGAGTGCACATTTTGGGTTTATCAGACTGATAGTATTCTCAACATATATCGAAGAGGAGCTTAGGGCGAAAGTTCTGAAATGCACCAACTTGTGAGCTTTGACTCTGCACTGAAATTTCATTGGGACTAGGATACTTTTAATTATTATTTTTTTTAAACCCAGAATACATTTCTATTCTTTATATAAAACCTTAATCATGCTGGAACGGAATCATTTTGGTAGCCTGATTTCAACTTCACATACATTTTGAAAGCAGAGACCAAATCTGTACACTACTTTTTTTATTCAAAGGGATGTTACAGCCAGACACTCATCTAATATGAAGGAGATCAGGGTTCTATTGATGTTATCTTGGGAACAATTACACAATAAACTGGAGATGACCCTCAACAGCATAACATTAGCAAGTTTCAAATTAATGTTTGAATATTTTTCACTTCTGTTTCCCCTGTCTGTAGCAAACTTAGTTTCCACAAAGTTCTCATTAAAAAGCTTAACCTATGCTGCACGTATGACCTGCTGCTCTTATTCTTTAAAGTCTTCATATCTTAATTGACACTACAGAGGCTGCACAAACCTGGAAATGGAATTCACTACAGCAGCAGACCCTTGTAAGAAAGTACTAAACAGCCCTTTTTTTTTTTTTTTTTAAATTAAGGGGAAGATTTAGATGTTAGCTTAGGTAACAAGGAAGTATTTGGTTATCGACCTCTTTCAGAGAGGCAAGAACAGCAGCTTTTATAATTTCCTCTTGTTTAACCTGTGTCACATCTAGCTTCTTTACATCATTGCTTAAGTATGGTTTCAAGTTCATCTTCAGATATTGTCTTCCTCTTATGTGGTGAAAGATCATATCAAGAGAACGAGGCAAAATACCACCATCTTTTGGAGAACCTGTGAAGAAAAGTAAGTGTATTATACATAGTTAGTCTCACTAAAAGTGTTAATTGGATTTTATGAAAGTTGTAACATTTGCTTTTGTTACCTTGAATAGTGAATGTTTTGCCTGCATTAGTAACCCCATAGGTAAACACCAGTCCATTTGCTCCATCAATGTAAGCTTTTACTATCTCTTTCATTGTGCCTTCAAAAAAGTCACTTTGAGTAGTTTCTGGACCAAAGACCTAACCAAAAGAAGAACAAGAGTTTTCAAACGACATCTGGAGCAGCTGAAAAATGGATTACTAAATGGTCCAAAGAACTTTTGTTTTTACCATTCACTGTTGAGTTATAAGGTAAGTTAGCTGTACAGAGAAAGTTGAACAAACGATACCAGCTTCATTGTCTGGATCCCTATAACTGATCACAAGTTTCTGTTTGGCTCCAGGTCATGCATGTTTAATTCCAGCTACTGAGATAAATGCAGGCTTGCATTTATTTCTGACCACCATTCAACTGGCAAGAACCAAGAATAGCCTGAGCTCCTCATCCTGGAAGAAGACCTATACTTGTATTGCAGAATAGGAGGGAGCCATATGCAAATATGAATCTACAATTCAAAAATTACTCAGAGAAAGACCAAGTCTTAAATATGAAGCTATTTAACAAATTATGCAAACCACTTTCTCTTGATACTGGGAGAACAGAAGCTCCTGTAGTCCTTACTGGATTTCGCATTCATGTGTCAAGTAAAGAAAAGCTAGGCTTCAGGTTTGAAAGGGATAAGCCATAAAGCTTCCATACTCTCGAATTGAATATATACCTTTCTAGATGCCAGTTTTAAGTAACACATTCTTACAATACCTATACATCCAATTGTAATCTAGAAGGATAGTGAAACCACATAAATTTATGTGGTCACACTATTTCCTTGTGCTATGTTGTTTCATATAAAATTGCCTGCAAGAAGCTTTTGTAAACACCATTTAATCAAAGAAAGCAATAGGATTACTGCATAAATTTCCTTCTCTCGTCTAATTAGTATTTGCATGAAAATATAGCCTTCCTGATGAATTAACAGTGAATACGAGTCCTATACATTGTGTTTTGTTTCAAAGGCAGTTGAGAAGATACCAACAGTAATTCAAATTTGAAAGGTCATAGTTAACAAATGATACAAACAGAAACACTTACACTATAACTAAAAATGGAAAAACAAGCCACAACTTTAGTTTCCTATAGGGTAAAATTGCTTTCCTAGTAAAGATCATTGCATGAAAGTTAGCCTACCTTAGTGAAGGTGAACTGGTGTACAGACTGTCCAATCCCCTTTTCACTGTTTTTCATTGTAAAAGATTCTTTGGGTGCCTGTAGAGTTACTGTTTCTGGATTTTCAATAATTACACAGTCCTAAAGCACAGACATAGAAGTTCTTCTTTCTAAAATAGCTTTCCAGAAATGCACACCTTTGTCTACCAGAGCTTTAACATTGTAAAAAATAGCTTTTAAAATATTTAAGAGATGCATTACAACTTTAAAGGGACACTAATATTAGATTTGAACCAAAACATGGGCTTTGTAAAAGGTAAGCTTTTACAATACCCAAGACCATTAAAAATGTTGCCAGGATCCCCTCCACCCACTCCTATTTGCAACACACACTCCAAACATCTGTAGAGTTTGCAACCCAAGCTCTGCAGTATTGTACTCATGCAAGAGAACCTGCAAACAAGATGGATTAGAAACTGACTAGTTTTCTTCATATTTTGTTTCTGGACAAAATGTAAACTATGAACTGCCTAAATAGAGTGCAAACTGGATTTGAAGAGTTTCAGTTTGAATGATGTATGGTGTTATTTATAACCTAGGAAAGGAAACTTGTAGAGTTTATATGATTTAACTTCTGCCTCTTAAGTATTATAAGACCATAACATAATCCATTTGATAACAGTGGTAGTTAGAGCTGGGCAAAATTATTTATTTTTCAATTAACTGGCAGTTCTGAAAGATTAGGTTCAACCCAAATTGAAACCAATTTTAATTCTTGGTAAACTGAAGTCAATAAAAATTTCATTTCAGACTGAATGAATGTTTTGTTCAACCTAACCTAACTTACTTTAAAAGATTAAATGAAGGACTAGATTGACAGGAGGTAATGGGTAGTGCTCATATACCCAGTAGCCTAGTGGTTACAGCACACAGCTAGGATGTGGGAGTCCCAAATTCAAATCCCTAATCTGGAGCAGGGACTTGAAGTCAATCTCCCCGCTGAGGGCCCTAACCAGAAGGCTACGGGCTATTTTGGTTTGGCTCTTAGCTTCAACAGGAGAGATTGTTCCACTTTGTATAAATAATTCAATATTCATTGGAGCAGGAACTTGAACATGGATCTCCCACCTCCCAGGGAAGTGCCCTAACCACTGGTACAAAGGGGGAGGGGGGGCTAAGTAACCATATGCATCTAGACCAGAACATCTTTTGGGGGGTCCGAAACTATTTGACAAGTTTGTCAAAATAGTTTCAATCAACCCAAAACTGCATTTTTTGGCAAACAAAATATTTGTATAGAGAATTTCACCCAGTTCAAGTGGCAAGAGAACATGACTTTGTGACTGATGTAGCAGAAGTAATTACCTTGCACGACATACAACCCATGGAATATTACCATCTATTGCAGGGGTCGGCAACCTCTGGCACGCGGCTCGCCAGGGTAAGCACCCTGGCGGGCCAGGCCAGTTTGTTTACCTGCCGCATCGGCAGGTTCGGCCGATCGCGGCTCCCACTGGGCGCGGTTCGCCGTCCCAGGCCAATGAGGGCTGTGGGAAGCGGCGAGGGCGAGGGATGTGCTGGCCGCGGCTTCCCGCCGCCCCCATTGGCCTCCCGACGCGGCAGGTAAACAAACTGGCCCGGCCCGCCAGGGTGCTTACCCTGGCAAGCCGCGTGCCAGAGGTTGCCAACCCGATCTATTGTTTTCCTATTACTTGGACAAGTTTTACCGGTGCATAGCAGATATTTATTTTCTCTGTGTTCAGCCTTTAAGTTACCTGTCACATATTTTACTTTAACTGAAAAAAAACTCAGGGTTTAAGGGTCAGACTTCATACAGCAGCCACATTCAGAACAGTTTATTGGACAAAATTTAATATGCTGATCTTGTTCTGGTTTGGCTTTCCACATTTACCAAAACTGTAATGTAGGAATCAGTGAGACCGTAAAGACTGCTGATATAAGTAGCATATTTCTAGGAGATGGAATTAGCACTCTTCCTCACCATTAAAGTTAAGAATGCCTCAGAAGTGACATCTATTGGTTACAGAATTTAGAAACTGAAAACTTACAGAAGCTTTTTCTATTTTAGAATTCTTGAGATGAAACGCAAGTGTTTTCCATGGAGGACAAAAAAATAAGTCATTAATAGACAACAACTAACCTGAGATTCATTGCTTTCAAGCTCTGCTTTAGAGAAGGGTCTGACTCTCAAGTAGACTTTCAAAGGTTGATATATCTGCTCATTTGAAAAAAATATATATAGTTACATCTATAGGCCAAAGACTCAGGATTCCAGAGTTTTTGTTTGTACCTGCTTACATCTCTGATGTTTTTCCCACCCCCCACCATTCCATCTCATGCCACCCACATTACTGTGACTTTTGTACTAATATCCTTCCATTCATCTTCATGTCTTCTCCAAGCTGTCCCTTACACCTAGAACGCCTACTGTGCTAAAACTATCCACCCCTTTCCATTCAAATTCTTTAAAATGTTTATTTCACACAGCCAGCCCAATGTTAATCCATCAACAGCACTTTATTTATTTTACACAAAAAACTGCACTGCTTCCACCTTCTGGTCACTCTGCACATTGTATCTAAGTTGTGTTGCTCGTATAATAAATGGAAAGTTTGTACTCTAGTTTTATATAGTGCAAGGCACACTACTGGGGCTCAATAAACAAAAAACATCTTGCCCCTATCGCCAAGCCACAAACCCTTTACCATCCCTTCAGAAACGGTCATGGAGGAAGCCTTCTTGGCTGCTGGGAAAATGGGGATGTTCCCTAGCTGCTGCTATCTCCCCTCTTTGCTACTAAAAAGGAAAAAAAATAACCCAACTGGGTCTCCCCACTGTTCTGTATTAGACAGAGGGATCCCTATGAGCCTTCCGTTCCCACCCAGCTATGTGAACAGAAGAGGTACACTAGAGTTTTCCCAGCTGCTGACCTGTCCATTTAGCACCTTTCATTACCACAACTCTTCAGACTACTCCTTTCATCATCACTCTGCCAAAAAGGTAGAATGGATGGAGTGCTGACCAAAAGGTACCGAAGCAGTAGACCTGCTGCTGTAGGATAGCATGACCAGTAGAAACAAACTCCAAGGCCAGATCTTGGCATAATGCAATAGTTATATAACAATGTTAAAAGGCTTGCAGGTCAAGTGCAAGAGTGTACAACAGTTTGGGGCTCATGGTAAGAGTGAGATAGTAATAAGAACACTGGTTTGAACTGGGCATACTCCAGATGGGTGTTGTGCAAACTTCCACGTGTACTTCTGCACTACACTGCAATCCTTTAGCTCCTCAAATGCTTAAGACAAATGTTGTAAGTACCATTTAAAATGTTAATTTGCTGCAGGACATGATCTGTTTCTAAGGGTATGTCTACACTACAGGATTAATCCGAATTTAGATAATTCGAATTTGGGAAACAGGTTGTATAAATTCGATTGTGCGCGGCCACACTAAGCACCTTAATTCGGTTTTAAACCACAGTAATTCGGTGGTGTGCGTCCACACTAACCCTAATTCGAATTAACAAAATCGATTTAGGCTCTACTCCGTTCGTCGAGGTGGAGTACAGAAATCGATTTAAAGGGCCCTTTAATTCGAATTAACTGGCTCTGTAGTGTGGACGGGTGAAGGGTTAATTCGGATTAAGGCAGCTAAATCCGAATTAAAGTCCTAGTGTAGACCAGGCCTAAGTAAAGGGAAAAGGAAACAGACTTGGAAAAAGGGAGGGAGTTCAAATACAGAGACAAACTTGTTATTGAGTTGTTGCTACTTAAATGCAAAGGCATCATTAGAAAAAATGATTACAAACACACCCGCACCTCCTGCTGCTGTTCATCAGCATTAGGTATCACTGACAACTCCATGGGTGAGGTTTTACCCATTAAGTCCTCATAACAGGTGAAGTCCAACACATCACATACTGCTGAGGATGCATAGCTTCCCACCTCATAGTCCATTCTCTTATCCTGTTCACACTGAGAGGAATAAGAAATAAACACACATGTTCTCACATGCAAATGGTGGAGAGTATGCAAGAAACAAGTATGGCTTTTAATATACACACACCTCCTGAAGGGGGAGGGGGGGAAAGGAAGGAAGGAGATCTAAAGACATGACCCCCAGAAGACTTGTAGTTATTTACCCTTTAAAAATGCTCTGCAATGCAAGAACCACATTTTTAAAACTGCAGATAGCATGAAAAGAGTCTGCAGGGAATCCACAACATTTACTATCTACAATACCAGACCAGCAACATGGGCAGTCCTGTAAATAGGTACATCCGAAGGTGATCGTTAGCACTTCTATCATTCCCTTTCCTTCGCAGCTGTCAAAAGGAGTTCCCAAAATGTTGTGACTCACAAGGCGAGGGTGCTCAGCACCCTAACAAGATCAAACTCACAGTGAGCTCAACTCTGCGCCCCTCCTACCCCTATGCAGGGCTCCCGCTGACTGCAGCTGGAGCACAGGTGACACTAGGATGCCAGGGGCAGAGTTTGGCCCTAATGAACAGAGGCATAAATCTCTTTGGTTCGCCTCTATCAGTGGGGGCAGAGCAGGCTCCAGAGGCAATGCCTTCCCCAAGGGCCCAGTGAATCAGTGGCAGAGCCAGGAACTGCACCCAGAGCTGCCTGTGGCAGAGGGGGAGCAGCTGGCCACCGAGTCCAGGTGAGAGGAGGGAGCGGCCCACGGCCAGGGTTTGCCTCATCACAGGCATAGGCTGGAGGCGCGCGAGGAGCTACTAGCTTCTCCCTCAGCCGCCCCGGGAGAGCGGCGGGGCTGCCGGCTGGGGGCTCAGAGACGCGGGACACCAGCAGCCACGGACCGCGGCCGCTCCGGAGCCCGGCTCCCTGCGCGAGGGAGGGGGAGGTGCGCCCGCTCTCAGGGGGGGGGGGGGTGGTTCTAACCCCTCCCACACGGCACCTTGGGAGAGGCCGATTACGCCAGCCGAGCGTCGCGTGCAGCTCGCAGGCTTTCCAGCCACTGCCCCTCCTCACGCGCTCTAATCACCGCTGCCTGCGCCTGCCCCCACCCACCGCCTTTTTTAGCGCGCGCTGGCCGGCAAGGCGCTAGCACCGCTGCCCTGCCCCGCTGGGCGGCGGCGCCAGCGCCTCCCCTGATTGGCCGCGGGCCCGGCCCGGCCCGGCGCGCAGTAGGAGGCGCGTGCGGGGGGAGTCCCGCCAATGCTGGCGCGTGCCGCCCGAGGGGTGGCTTGTCTTACACCTGCCAGCGATAAGCCCGTTGCGACGGTTGGGGACTGGGGTGGCTCTAAGCACCTGGACGCCCGCGGACTGGGCTTCCAGTTACCGGTTCCTCTTTCCAGGGCTGACGGGGGGAGGGAACAATTGTACCGGCCCGAGCTCGGGGGGAACGTCTGTAACGGGGGGGCTTTAGGTACCCGCCGCTAAGGTCCCTCCAGGGCTGCCTGGTACCGATGGATCCGCTGTTCGGACAGGCCTGGGGGCTGAGCCCCCCGTTCACATGGGTACAGCATGGGCGGCGGCAGCACCCGGCCGGTTCCCCAGCCATGGAGTCACACACCCCCTCCCCCCCAGGGCACCGCTTCTGGCCTGGAATATCATTAGTCTCCACCCCGCCACGGCAGGCTCGCTCGTGGGGCTACCAGCAAGGGACCAGTGACGTGAACGGAGACCGCCACGCAGCTCACACACGAGATATCATCAAACGCTCCTGCGAAGCGACAGCCAGGCAATGCCAAAGCGGGCTGGAGTTCAGTCGCTCCCCGACCCACGTGGCGACCAGGCTGGATGTCCAGCAGAGGGCACTGGCGCACAAGCCAACCCTTCGTAAAGGAAATGTGAGGTTGAGAAGCCCTAACACTGGAGCTTCCCAGCCATTGTTTTCAAACAGTCTGGTTAAGCCTGCATTTTTATGAGATAGTCTAAAGCTAGTGGCAGCAATATTGTGGTTGCAGGAAGGATAGGGGAAGTAATTGTTAAAATGCAGGACTGTAGATTGAGATTACCACTCTTTGTTCCTGGGTCTGTTATTGACTCTGAGGCCTGGTTTACAGGTTGATGTAAGGCAGCTTACCTTGACCTAAGCATCTACACTACAGTGTTCTTCCTGCCAATTTAACTCCCGCGCTATGCCAACCCACTGCTCCGAGTGGCTTAGGTAAGCGTAGTTAGGTCAATGCAGTGTCCGTGTAGACATTGTGTTGCTTACGTTGCCCGTTGCTGCCTTTGACAGCCTGAGCCCCACCCCCCGGGGCTGACAGCTTGGTTTGTCAAGCCAAGTGTGACAGGGCTCCAGCTGTCAGTCCCAGGTGGTGAGGCTCTGACTGTCAGTGCCCCATAATGCCTCACTTAAGTTGGTGCAAGCGCTCCTGATGAGGCTGTGCACTGCTGACAGGAGGATAGTATGGACATAAAGAGCTGCTTTAATTACTGCAGTGGCTGTAGGTCAACCTAACTTTAGTTGATTTAATTTTGTAATGTAGACGTGCCCTGACCCACACTGAAAGCACTGTTATGTAGGAAGCAGAGCCCCAGAGCAAGCAGGTAACTTTAATTTCAATACTGTTTGACATTTTCATCAGTGATCTGGCAGTAAATATAATATGGCTGATAGAATTTGCAAATGACAGATTGGTAGAGTGGTAAATGATGACAGGGTAGCCATACGGGTCATTCTGGATTGCTTGGTAAGCTAGGCCCATTCAAACAAAATGTGTTTTAACACAGCCATATGCAGTTATATATCTGCAAGGAATGTAGGCCATACCTACAGAATGGGGGATTGTATGCTAGAAATCAGTGACTCTGAAAAGGATTTAAAAATCACAGTGGAAAAGCACCTCAACATGAGCTCTCCCTGTGATGCTGTGGCACAAAAAGGACTAATGCAATGCTTGGCTGTATAAACAAGTGAGGAGGAGCACCAGAGGTGATTTTACTTCTATATATAGCACTGGGGAGACCCATACTGCATATAATTCTAGTGTCCATTTAAAAAAAAAAAAAAGAAACTGAAGCTGCATAAAAGGCACAAAAAGTATTTGAGGACAGAGTGCCTTACTGTGAGATTTAAAAAGCTCAACCTGTTTAGCTTATTAAAAAAACCTGAGAGAGACTTGAGTGTACCATGTAAGTACTTTCAGGGGGGGGAAATACCAGGCAATAAAGGGCTCTTTAATCTAACACTTTTCTCTGCAACAAGAACCAATGGCAGGAAGCTGAAACCAGGCAAATTCAAATTAGAAATTAAGCACAAAATTTGAACAGTAAAGAAAATATTTGAACAATTAAGGTAAGTGGTGGATTTTTCCATCTCTTGATGGCTTCCTATCAAGCCTGGATACCTTTTTGGAAGATCTAACCAAACAATAGTTAGTGGGCTCAATACAAGGCTGCGGAAAGGGATCTGGGGGTCATAGTGGATCACATGCTAAATATGAGCCAACGGTGTAACGCTGTTGCAAAAAAACCAAACATCAATCTGGGATGTATTAGCAGGAGTATTGTAAGCAAGACATGAGAAGTAATTCTTCTGCTCTGCTCTGTGCTGATTAGGCCTCAACTGGAGTATTGTGTCCAGTTGTGGGTGCCACATTTCAGGAAAGATGTGGACAATTGGAGAAAGTCTAGAGAAGAGCAACAAAAATGATTAAAGGTCTAGAAAACATGACCTATGAGGGAAGATTGAAAAAAATGAGTTTGTTTAGTCTGGAGAAGAGAAAACAGAGGGGACAGAAGTTTTCAAGTATATAAAAGGTTGTTACAAGGTAGAGGGAGAAAACATTTTGTTCTCAACCTCTGAGGATAGGACAAGAAGCAATGGGCTTAAATTGCAGCAAGGGAGGACATTAGGAAAAACTTCCTGTCAGAGTGGTTAAGCACTGGAATAAATTGCCAAGGGAGGTTGTGGAATCTCCCTCATTGGGGATTTTTAAGAGCAGGTTGGACAAACATGTGCCAGGGATGGTCTAGATAATACTTAGTCCTGCCTCAAGTGCAGGGGACTGGACTAGATGACCTCTCAAGGTCCCTTCCAGTTCCACAATTCTGTAACTGAGTGAAATTTAATGACTTGTGATATAGGAGTACAACTGAATCATCTAGCAGTCCTCTGTGGCCTTAAACTCTGTCAACTTATCTAGGTTTCAGTTTATCCTTCTGTAAAATTTGTTTATTAAGATTTGTATTTCAGAGGAGATTCTCATAGCAAAACCATTGGTTTTTGGTAAAATGTTTTGAAAACCTCCGATAAAAGGTGCTTTTATAAAAGTGCAACGAATCATTAAAAAGTCATTCACCAGCCCATCTAGAAATGTTTTACAACATAAATTGGATGGTCTAACATCTTGCAGCTGGCTTTGGGCTTTTATAAAATACTGGAGTATATGTAATGAGTAGCTGTTTCCACAACCACTTAGTTTAGGAATAGATGAGAATACAGCGAAGTAGACACAGAAACCTGTAAATTGGTGTTATTTAGGAGAATCATTGTAGATGATTGAGTAAGCTGTAAGGGATAAAGTACTTCTGAATATATACTGATTGGCATAATTGGATTCTGCAGAATTTTAAATTTTTGCTTAGAGGACAACATATAATGAACTACAGCAACAGCTCATTTAGGCCTGGTCTACACTAGGAGGTTATGTCGAATTTAGCAGCGTTAAATTGAATTAACCCTGCACCCGTCCACACAACAAAGCTATTTAGTTCGACATAGAGGTCTCTTTAAATCGATTTCTGTACTCCTCCCTGATGAGGGGAGTAGCGCTAAATTCAACATGGCCATGTCGAATATGGGTAAGTGTGGATGGAATTCGACGCTAATAGCTCCGGGAGCTATCCCACAGTGCACCACTCTGTTGACGCTCTGGACAGCAGTCCGAGCTCGGATGCTCTGACCAGCCACACAGGAAAAGCCCCGGGAAAATTTTAATTCCTTTTCCTGTCTGGCCAGTTTGAATCTCATTTCCTGTTTG